TAAATTTCCCTACCGTTGACAAAGTCCTGACAGATGATGACCAGAGAGACCCCAGTCCCCTCGTCTAGCCGTCTAGCTTAATTATCCAACTCTCTAAGATTTGATTTAGCGTCTGTGCGACCTCCTGCCAGTATCCAAAACCCCAAGTGATGTGCCGCTATGCTGTGACAAAGCTCTTATAAAACCAGGAAATTCCGAAGAGGAAACGGTAGAAAAAAATACGAAGAGGAAATAAGCAACAAAGGACTGTGTAACGGAATTTAGAAACTTCACATGGCTCAAAAGCTTTTGAACTATCTAAATTAAAGGTGAATTGCGGTCTATACCATTAGTTTTGCACTATTTGATATTATGTAAACAAAGCATGTTGAATAACCCATATGAATTAAATTGACTTTTTAACGGACCCTTTGAATAATGTTGAATACGAACATACCTTTTTTTGCTCGATTTACACAGTTAATTTACTAGTGAGAAGTCATTACAAAGTGTGACATCATGGATTTGAAAAATGTGTTGTTTTCAATGCATCAGAAACCATGCCTCTTTGTGTGGATTCTTTGTCACATTTCTGGTACATCGTTCAATTCGGCACCTTGTTATTCCACATCCGTTGTTAGGAGTGATGGTTTTGTTTAAAGAGTAAATACAAGTGGACTGGAGGGAGAGGGTCTGGGACCGGGAACCCCCGACATAATGATGATTATGAGGCCAAAGCAAATAATCTTTATGTATGATATCTACAAGCGCATTAATGTTTGCCTGGTTTATGAAACAAAACAAGGAATTTTGTTGCCTTCTGACAGTGGTCAACATGCCGAAAATTAGCAAAGATGTCTGTTGGCATTGGCGTTTGTTTAGCCCTTTCCCATTAGATTTGGAGTCTGTGGACGATGTCATCCATAACATTTACTTGCTGTGGCCTGGTGATGAAATACAAGTATGTCTTTCTGTTAGTGCTCAAGCACCGATAGGTGAAAAATGGCGTCTTAACGACCTTTACATAATGCTGAAAAAAATTAATACATCCATGATCCAATCCACAGCGGAAAACTTTTAAAATGCTGGTTATCTATAAGGGGATCTGATATCGACATTTACTGTAATTTCCTACCACACTTTTGGCATTAATTTAATTTCTAGAGCATTTCATATAGGCCACAAACATTTCAAGTTAGGAGTATTATATATATATATATATATATATATATATATATATATATATATATATATATATATATATATATATATATATATATATATATATATATATATATATATATATATATATATATATATATATACTATATATATATATATATAT